GGGCGGGCGCACTCTCGGGCCGTCTGCCAGGGTGGATGACTATGCCAAGCGAGAGGACTGACAATTGGGAAAAGAGGCGGCGTGGGAGTAAAATGGAACAAAAAAGGGAATGAAAACGGTGAAGCTGAGAAAAACTTCCGAATTAACCCCATCGGGGACAGCGGTTACTACAGTGGACATCTTATCGTGTTATCAGATTTCAGGTTATCATTATTGGTGCGTGATTGTTGTATTATTTTGTCATTTTATGTTAACTGTTCTTTTGATGGCGGCACAGGCACCCGCAGCGGCTCCTCTCTCTTGTGGTTGAGAGGAAAGACATTTCATCTGTGCTGTATGTTGCACATGTCGCACATTTGACAATAAAGTTGACTTGAACCTTGAACCTTGAAAGAGTTTTAACCCGTCAATCCGATGTTGGCGTTTTGGACAATCCAAAGTTTTGTGTGAATTTCCGAAGCCTATTAAAAATCTAGGAGCCGCTGTATTTATTCATTTGGCTTCTGAAAATGTCTAAAAATGGCCGCCTCCACGCGCCCTCACGCTAGCTCGCTTTCTGTCGTCTCGCGGCTTTAAAAATACAGTCCATCTCGCGTATTTGCTTTCATCGCTTGTGACACCCTCCTTGTCGCTCGCTCGCGCCGGTTAGCCGCACCGTGTCGTCCTCGGCTCGACTAAGCTGTCTGCGTCTCCCCCTCTCCTCCCCCCTCAGCCGCCTTGCCGGCTGTCTGTCTCCCGCTCGTCCGACCTGTCTTATCCTGTATGGATCATTGCCTTCGCGTTTCTCTCTTTGCCTTTCTCAGCCTGTCCTCGACGATTTGCCGCGACCTGGCCGTGTGGTTTTTGTGTCTGTCACGAGCTGTCTCGTCTCACCCCTCCGACCCTGATTTTTTTGTGTGTAACTTTTGTCATTCTTTCTCGATGTGTTTCTGCTCGGATAAAAGGACGCTGATTACTTTGAGCCATTCGGGGGGTAACTTGTGAAAAAGTTTTCAAAAAGTTCGGCCAATGGTTAAATCGCCTTAGGTGGGCTGTAACACTTGAAACAAAACAAAACAAAAAAAAAAAAACATAAAAATCAACTGATCACCACCAAATTGAACACGGATACATGTAAATTCTTTCTTGAATGAGGTCATGTAAACTAATAATGTTCCTGGTAGTTTACCTGGATAGGAAATATGGACTACTACGGGGGGGGGGGGGTGATAGCGATACTGATGTCTCAGCTAAAAAATAAAAGACAAACAATTTTGAAAAAGAAAAAAAAAGATGAGGATAAGCCTGACCGATACGTTTTTGTTTTTTTTTACCGCCAATTTTAGGCTGATGCTTATTTTTGGCAAAAAAAACTCAATAAAATACAGACTTCTGATTAAACAATTGAGTCATTTAAATAACATACCATGCACACTTCCACCGGTCACCCCGACACCCCAAATTTGGATTGCATATGCTAGTTATTTGTACACTTGGTCATGAAAGTATACGGGTGAAGCTTGGCATGAAAATGTGATAACTGACCATCAAATTCTCACAACCCAGCTCCACAAAAAACTTCTGTATTCAGAAGTTCTCGTCCAAAGGACAGCCATACATCTGCCACTGCGCCACCAAGTCGCAGCAGGAAACGGCCAAAAATGACCAACCTTATACATCAAACCTCCACATTTCATCATTATATCGCAACTTCCATATTCCTGCTGGGCCTCTCGGAAAGCTGAGTGATGCCCACACACATTTCAGCTGATCGATCAATTTTACCGTCGAACATCCAAGCGCAATCACTTCGGTGTGATGATCATATCTCCCCCAGTTGTGTTTGTTTTCATCTGGCCAGCCGGCAAGCACGCTCTGCCGCCGCCGCCGCCGCCGCCTTGCTCCTGTACTCAGAAGTCATTTTCCTGGGCCGTAAAACATTGAGCTGTTAAATTTCTTTATGCGTCTCGCTCCGGCCTGCGGCCCTCGAGGTTTCCTGGTGCTTTTTAAATTGAATGATTGCCTGCAGCTCTTGGCTAGTTTAACCTCTGCAGTGGCAGCGACTGTATTTTTAGAAGTTTTGCACACCCCTCCCTCGCACCCCAAGTACGCAAGTGTGTGCCTAAGGAAGTGTGTGTGCAAGCAAAAGACAGGTAAGTGTTGGGGCAGGGAGGGGGTGTGGGGGGGGGGGGTTGGTATTGCCTAGAGCTGTGCATGAGTGCAAGACAGCACGAGTGCGTGTGCACGCAAGCATGTGCATGTGACATGACTAGCGGTTTCCTTATTTATGAGCCTCACCTTCATCCAGGCTACGAATTTGTCTGAGGAGCAGAGGAAAAAAAAGACCCCCCCCCCCCCGAAAAAAAGGCAATCGGACGATTCAGAGGTGAGCGCTGTTCTGCCGCCCGTTAGCTTTTATGGCCTACTAAAGAAGAAGCGAGTGAGAGTGAACATTCTTCCTCTCTTGATTGACTTCTCTCCCTGCACAATTCCTCGGCTCTGACACGAGCGCCACTTTCTTGACTGGCGATAACGGACATCTCGCTACCTTGGATGTACGTTACAACTACAGGGCCTGCCAGCCGGAATGCGGCAAAACAAGGGCGACAAATGACTTGCCATCAGCGCAGTTGTTCTCAGAGAATTAACATTGCGAGACCGTTGTTGCATTATGGCCTGCTCCCCCCGAGTAAAAGTGTCTACCGTTGGTCAATTCATTTTCTCAACTGCTTCCCCACATGAGGATCACGGGTGTGCTGGAACTTAACCCAGCTCACACAGCCTGGACCAGAGCCATAGAATCCAAGTGTCAACGCTCTGAACTCGTTGCACTGCTCTGAGCTGGTTGCATCCACATCAGCCACCAAAATTCATCTTGCACATTTGTGCTGCCGTCCACTTCAACAAGTAAAAAAAAAAAATCCGCATCATATTTTTGATTTTGTGTTTAACTTTTTTTTCTTTTTTTTGCTCATAGGAGCTAAAAAAAATGCTGGTTTTTGAAAAGGGGTGTGCTCGCCAACCTAAGCCCCGCCCCCTTCCTATAGTATTTCTTTTAGGGTTTGCTCAGTGGCCATGATAAAAATCTCATACTGACATCTTAATGAGGAAACTATTCGTTCCATAGTGTACTTTTTTTGTCAAATGTGTTGCGGCGACTCCATGTCAAGCCGGGTGACAATATGGCGCCCGAGCCTGTGACCGTCCAGGGGCCTGTGACTGTCCAGGGTTTTTCCATAGCACACTCCCATTGACAATCCGGAGCCATCAGTGTTTTGGCGTGATGCTACGCTGGCATGTAATAAGGAGAATGGCACCGGTGTAGCCGCGTCCCGTATTTCGCCGGTGCGTAATATTAGTGGACCAGCCGGGACGCCGCTCAGGCCGGGTTAGGGCTGTTGTTTGTTTTCTCGGTCACACATGCAGAACGCTCCTCCAATGTTTACTTGTGTGTTTCCGCTTTGGGGGGGTCTGTGTGTGTGCGCGCATGATATGAGTTCAACATTACTTGGGTACGCAATATATGAAAGTGCAAAGGGAAAAGAACCCAGGCCAGGCTTGTGATTCAATACGCACCCCCTGTGGAGCCAGGCTTACGGGAGTGTATGTGCTGATGAAAAAGTAATGTAGTGTGTCTGCAAGGTACTGCTGGTTTTTCCCTCGTGCTTCCTGAACTCCAACAACTCATCTTCCAACAACTGGGCTGGCTTCCTTTTTTTCTGTCTCTCTCTTCCTTTTTTTTTTCAAATCAAAGCTAAAAAGAGATCTCAAAAATGCAGTTCTTTCGATTTGCACGTCGTTCTGTGCGCCAAAGTAAGTGTCAAGTTTTGTTCCCCCCCCCAAGTATAAATAAACCTATGATCATGAATATGGATCTCATGCAAAAAGTCCCAAATGTTTTGGTTTTGGAAATTGTTTTAGGCAAACACGTTTGAATAAGCGTCCCTGGGTTCCCAACATTATTTGCATCTTTTGGTTTTGAACAAACTAACAAAAGACGGAATATTACACACAAAGCCGGGATGGGACGGTGGCAAGTTGAATCCGTCCCTGGGCTTGGAGCGCTGACTTGGCAAAGTTTCTTGGAGCTGCAACCTCATTAGAAAAAGTTTATCCGAGGACTCCGCTATTTATCTCCCACTTCCGAGAAACACGTTTTTGCACTGTACTTATCGCGGCACACATTTTGTAATAGTCACATGACATTTGGTTAGCATCTCTGTCACGACGAGACCAACAAAAACATGTAATAAAATGGTGCATGAAAGCCTGTCCGAGAAGCCCTCGCCATTGTGTTTAAAATGACCATTTTTGGTGCATTTAAGGATCATTTTCAGCATACAATAGCGAGAGGGGTGAGCTTATATGAAACAATAATAATCATAATACAGTGGTACCTCCACTTACGAAATTAATTGTTTCTGGAAGAATTTCCTTAACTGGAAAACGTAAGTTGAGGCACGTTTTCCATGTAAATGCCCTAATCCGTTTCAAGCCCCTCCAAAATTCAGACATAAATGTTTTCTAAAGCATAAAAATGCATCAAAATATGTAACAAATACATGTTACCATTAGGTTGTGAGTTTTGTATAATGTAAAAATGAGGAACAAAGTAGAGAATAAAAATGATGGTCATTTTTCCCCAGTGTGGGACAAATAAAGGTTATCTTATCTTATCTTAACTGCGTTCTCATCATTTTTTGCGCTCTTTATGTACTCTCTCAGAAGTGTTTTTTGCCTGGCGTTTTGTAAAGAACTGATCCCAGGACGTTTGTTTTTGTCGGCTTTTAGCAATCCTTCGAAAATGTCCAAGGCAAACATCAGCATAGTGAGCGATCGCCCGACTGGTGAACACTTTTTCTGGGTGATTCACATTTAGGTAAAACTATCTAAACATCTCATGGCCTGAGGGGCGATTGACGAGGACGCTGCATAGACATCTATCTATCTACACACATAACGCATACGGTGAGGTTCCTCTTAGCCAATGGGGTGCCAGGATGATGTTCGGTAATAGCCAATGGCAGAGCAGCTATAAGTATGCTGCGTTCAGGAAACTTGTAGCTGCGACGAGCAGCCCAGACTGTATTTTTACCTTTCGTATCTTGAAATTTCTTTTGTAACAAGAGGCAATATTTCATTTCGTAACTTGAAAATTTCGTATAAAGAGACGTCGTAAGTAGAGGTATCACTGTAATACGTTTTCTTGGTGTCATGTTGGCAGAACGTGGCGGAAAAGTTTGCTAACATGGCCTAAAACAGTCCAACTCAATAACTCAGTTGCTTTTCCCTTGCACACTTCTCTTAGTTCCTCCGATTAAATCTTAATGTTCCCGCATCGTTTATGATCCCGTTTAACTTCCAAATATGATTCGCATCATTTCATCTGCCCTGCTCGGTAAACATGATGGTTGCCGAACGTTCCCAAAGTATTTTTGCCAATTTCCTTCGGCACACAACAGCGTACGTAGCACTGCCCTGAATTCATATGGCGCTCCCACGGCCTCCTTCCCGCCGCTCGGGAGCCGGAGCCCATTTAGCGGCTCTTGTTTGGCGTTTGTGGTGCCAACACATACAAAACAGCGCATTAGCATAAAACCGGGCAAACGCGGGCCAAAAGAGCCGTAATTGCTATTGACAGAATTAACAAACACATTAGCACGGCGCATTAATTAGAAAGTCAAATGTAAAAAGTGTCATGAATGGCGGACAGCTGTCATCCATCATCCCGCTCATTGGAGTTTCACGGCCATTCATTTTCCGACGCCTAATTTGCTCCGTTCGGCTGGCGGTTGCCGGGAATGACACCACGAAGCGGTCCGCGCCACAAGCGTACCTGAAAAACGTGGCCCGGTCGCGGGCGTTTAGCTCGCAGAGAGGTGATTGATCGATTATTTAGCCTCGCCATTCGAGGAGTGTTGTATTAACGCCGGCTAAAAACTAAAAGCAAATGTCAAATCAATGCGGATGGCGCCAAGGAACCGATTCCGCCATTTATCACGCGCAAAGAGTTTGAGGATATGACTTTTCATTCTGGCTTTTTGCTTCTTGTTGTTTCAGGCGCTGGTGGGCGTGGACATGGAAAAACACTTTCCCCTCCCTTTGCAGGTAGGTCAACTCCTTTTTGCATCTTCTCGTCCACCATCAATAATCGTGGTGGCTCGGTGGAATGTGAGCCACTTGAACGTTTTCTCATCGTCATGGTCATACCGTGCCCTCGCTATGTCTCCAGTAAACCAGCACATTGTAAGAGCCATTTTTTTGGCTTCTACCTTTCCTAAAAATGCTTTAAAAAAAAAAAAAATCGGTTTTAGTGTTAGTTTTAGTTTTATTTAATATGGAGTGTTTGTCGAGTACAAAATTAAAAAGTTCAGTAAATATTGTGTCGTAAAGTAATGTAAACTTCACTTCTCAAATGACTGTTTAGCCTTCCTTCCTTCTTCAGCAATACCGAAATAAATACGCTTAAAATGAACCCTGAAAGGGGTTCGATTCCGGGCCCCGGCATTCCTGTGTGGAGTTTGGACGTTCACCCTGTGCCTGCGTGGGTTTTCTCCGGGTACTCCTGTATCCTCCCACATTCCAAAAACATGCCCGGGAGGTTAAGTGATCACTCAAAATTGTCCTTAGGTGCATTTATGAATGTGAATGGTTGTTTGTCTATGAGTGCCCTGCGATTGACTGGCCACCAGTTCAGGGTGTCCCCCGCCTACTGCCCGAAGACAGCTGGGATAGGTGATCCTCCTGTGGCTAAAGCCGTTCAGATGGCGGATGGAAGGATGAACGCTGAAAGCTCATGAGTGATCAGAATTGACAAAGACAAAAGCAAAGGACATTCTTGCTTCATTAAAGTTAGTTTTGTAAACATAACGTGGATTCAGATCGTTTTTTTTTCTAAAAAACTTATATTAAATTTATTTAGTTGAAAATGTTTTTTTTTTTCTCTTTCAGTTTTAGCTATTTTGTTAGCTTCCATTCACTGCAATGCTAACCGTGGCCTGAACACAGTTTTTTTTTTTTTTTTTGGGACACCTACAAGCTCCACCTCTTAAACAACAAGAATTGAATCTGAATTTGAAGCCAAGCGCATCGAGCACAATCTTCGGTGGTCTGTTCTATTGATGGGCCAGTTTGGCCCCCCTCCCACTTTTGAGGCCTGTTTGCTCATCACTTATGCAACCAATAAAGAAACAAGACTCACTGATTCAAAAGGGAATGGAGGGATGAGCAGGTAAGTTGTCTTTTTATTATTCTGCTCAATTCTCCAAGTTCAATGATAGGATTATTGATATACATATTATACTGTTGGCAAAACTTTGTGTTGTTTGTGTATGCGCATTCTAATGGAGGTAAGTGGCTGATGCGCAAAAAAAAAAAAAAAAAAGATTAGCATTCTGAGTTGAATGGCCAGGATGTAAAAGCAGTGTCACGGTGTTCCCGTATTGTCTCATGTGTCTCCGCATCGGATGTGATTGATTGGCGCGCTTGTAAAATTCCTATTGCTCGCTGTATTTCTCTTTTTAAGACTCCCCAGACAGGGGAGAAAGGCGAATTCTCCCCGCTCACCCTCCCCATCCCCCCCTCGCTTTACATGTCCGATCGTTCATCTCTCCGCCGCCGAATTCATTTCAATTAGCGCCCCCGTAAGCCGCTGCTCTCCCTCCGCATATCGATCGGCGGGCCGCTGCTATCTCCCGCGCGCACGAACAAGATCACGAGGGTGTATGTGTGTGTGTGTGTGTGTGTGTGTGTGTGTGTGTGTGTGTGTGTGTGTGTGTGTGTGTGTCTTTGTGTGTGTATGTTGAAACATAGCGGGCACCTTCGCCACTCCGATCAACAATAAATATGAGCAGCAGCAAACAATTACCCCCTTAACGAGGGATTAATTGTGTCAAGATGGAGTGAGGGCAGCGCAGAGGTCGCTTGACGCCGTCCATTCCTAATGTGTTTATTTTCATTAGTTAGGCAGATCAGCCTAAGTAGCCTTTTGCCGGCCGTGTTGTCGTCCGTTCGCCGTTGCTTGCTCGATTTGGCATGTGGGCAAGGAGAGGCACAGTCACGACTGCACTCAGTCAAATACCAAATGAAACTCACAAGAAGCTGTTGTAGACCGCAGCTCACGTGCAGGCACTCGCATGCTCCTGATGTCACTTATAAGGCCACGCCCCTTAAAGGCACACATCCAACACATGAATGCTACAGCTCATAACAGTAATTAATAGACAGATATGACCTTCTGGATCAGCAGATATTTTGCATTTCATGCAAAATTGGTGATTGGAACTAGTCCATCTGCTGATCTATTTTTTTTTTTTTTTAACTCACTCATTGGTTTTCGGCTCCAAAATCCTGATCGTGAAAAGCAGTGGTGCCCAAGTCCCATACTCGAGAGCCTCTCTCCAGCCTGTTTTAAATGTTTCCCTCCCTTCAATACAACTGCTTCAAATCCGGATCATGATCAGGCTTCTGCAGAGCTTGCTGATAAGCTGATCAATTGAACCCGGGTCTATTGGAAGAGGGAGACATCTAAAAGAGGCTGGATCGGGGTTCTCAAGGACCAGACTTGTGCATCCCTGTTGAATAGCCTCGTAAATACACTTCATACATTTTTTTAAGCGCTTCTCTTTTCTTCTTTTGCAATGTTCTCCTTCAATGATTTTACATGCGACCCTCTGAGGAAACATTCCGACACCCCGGGATCATATGGTAAATATAGCACAAACTGTGAGCAGGGGTTTGCTGTATTGATACACAGGCCAGAGCAGCTCAGAGTAATATTATGAGGTTATGCTCAGATCAATGTTCTAAATGCCTTTAACGCTGCCACTTCAACTCATTTGTCACTTATCGATGGCGGCGGCGGTGAGGCGAGTCCTCAGCGCCACCGCCGCCATCGCCTTGATACATTTGTCGCTTCTCTAACACGCCTTGTCAAGCCTCCTAAGTGTGTCGTCAAGCCTGAGTCATAACTTGAGGCCAAGCTCTGTCATGTTAGCCGCCGACAAGCGATTAGGCGTTTTGTGTGCGCCCACGCGGCAGCCAAATGAAAACTGCCGACCATTTGTTTTCGGGCTCGCTACAAGAGCGAGTCGGAGCGCTCGCCCACCGTCCGCCGTCCCCCCTGGCTGATGGAGGCATGCGGCCGGCGTGTTTACATTAGAATTGTGCACACGTGAGGGCGGCGAGAGAAGCGGGATCCAAATTGAATCGCTTTCTCGTCTTGCCGGGGCCGACATTGCTTGAGACGCCGTCATTGACAGCTCGCTGCAAGGAGCTAGGATGGATGCCGGCCCCTCAGGCCTGCTCCGTGTTGCATGCTGGGTAGTCGTTTGATGGAACATGGCCATGCGCTTTCATTCCGTTGCTGTAAACGAAGTCGACAGTCATGGAAAGCCACACAGACTGAATGTAACAAGCGATATGAAACAATATCAGCACTCTCTCTTATGTTGGTGGACACCGCGAGTTATCTTGATTTGAAGCTACAGCAATGCTCGCAAAAACTCGTCTCTCATCATCATCATCTTTCCTCACTCAAATGAATGAGAATGACAATCTGTTCGAGCCCCCTCCCAACTAAAATGTTATTTTTGACGGACAGTAGCACTGTGTAACACCAAAAAATAAATTTCACCTAAGACATAATGAAATAAAAAAAATATTTGACAAATTGTACATCATGATTTCATGTTTCAATTCATTGCGCCACTCTTTCTGGTGGGCACATTTTGGTCACCTGGGGGCAGTGTAATCCAGTCATGCAGATCCAAACGAGTCACCACGACTCTCTGGGATTCAGTCAGCTGCAGTATTATTAGTGGCATGTTGCAGAGGATAAAGAATATGCGCAGGGGTGCACCTAAAAATGTCGGTGTGGTTCTCAAATTAGCACCAGCGGTGTTTGTTTGGTGCCCATTTTTGCCCAACCCGCCATCCTCATGGATGAACTTTGCCGATTATTTATAAAAAGAGAAAATAAAAAATGGCATCAACACCAACGGTGTCAAATAATGATTCATCGCTCATATGTGTAAATGTCATTTTAATGTCAGTGAATGAGCTTTTTTTCTGATTATTTCATTTTTTTTAGTTTTCACTTTTAATTCCTAATTACATGTGGCTACACAATGGCAGCTTATGAAAATAGTACAATTAACTATTCTCGAAAAGGAATTCCAATTGAACACAATTGAGTTGCATGGTCGGTTCAGCTAGCTTACCTAGCACAGTTGACCGGCACCACCGACATATTTAGACGGAACGTCAAAGCCGCACGGAGATAACCATCTCCCCTGCGGCCCTCCTGCAATATCTTTGGCCACCGTCAGTCTCACCCTGAAATGTAGCCGTTAGCGGAGAGCCAAACCCGTCGAACAAGCTGCCTTAGGCTACTAGGCAACGCACCGTGAGGGTCAACTTCAAAATAAAAGCATAACAAGAAATTCTGTACGTAATCAATGACTTGCCGAGCTTTTATCTTGAAGTTGGCCCTCGGAAGCAATTGTTGTGGCGGCTGACTTGACTTTGAATTAAGGCTGGCCTGACCGCTGTCAAACTGACTGACTGAACTGCAATAGTCTTCGCGCGCGGAAGCGCGGTGAACGGTTTTGAACTAGCGCACCGCGTCATAGTGATGGCCGACATTCGGGTGCAAGCAAATCAGGACATGATAAAATTACTGGAGTGCTCGTTGATGACTTCCCTGTCAGCTTGTTTACGCGTCTACGTGATGCGTGCACGAGTTATCTCCAGGGTTTTTTTTTCTTCCTCTCCCTTCCTCCTCCTCCTCTTGGCAACCTCTCACACCCGCCCCCTCCTACTATTAACCCCC